TCCTGGGGAGTTTAAATTCCCCCCCAGAGTTCATAAATTGGTGATATCCATATCTTGATAATTCTTATTACTGTTTTCATTGCAAGGGACTCCCTGCAATTTTTTTCTGATTTAAAAACTATTAACATGAGAGCAATAAGGTTATCCTCTTTGAGATAAAATATTTGATCACTGTGCCAGGAATCTGAGCAGTTCTACTAGTAGAATATCCTCAGATTTGTAAGTTTTGAATATAATCTAATTGAAAATATAGAAGTAATTAAAAAAAAGAAATCATCAGATAGATGGAGATAGCTTATTTAGCTGGCCATAAAAGCAAAGAAAAAAAGACTCAAAAAGAAATGTTAGTTAGACAAACCCACGTCCCATTTATCTGGTGGAGAAAACTTAACCTAGGTGTCCTGGAGTTTGGTTCTTACAGCAATATCATTTCTACTGTAGAAATTCATTATCAGGCTCTCAGCACTGACATTCTATTCATCCAGCAACTTTTCTCCTCATTCTGTTCACTCTCCATTGTGGGATGCCCATGATGGAAGCAAACCCTGAAGAGAGGACTAGAACAAAAGAGAAAACAAGAATTATGGAGATACTTGCATATCCAAATCTAGTGGGTGGAGACACAGCAGGTGGTTTTAGTTTGAAAAGCTTACCAGGAGTTTAAACCTACTGATGCATATTCAATCCTCAACACGCCAAAATCCACAAGTTGATGTATTTTTGTTCAATCACAGTATCACATTTCTTTGCCAACAAATGATCCATCATATATTTGTCTATGACCAAATGGAGAATATACACAACACCTAGAATCCTGACAGTCTGTACTATCACCATTAAAATCATGGAACAAAACACCTGGGAAGGGGAGAATTTTACATTTTCGCCCAGTTTGACAACATATAGAACTACTGTCTGACCCTAAGGGAAAAAGGACAGACTACAGCGAAGGTAATTCCAGCCAACTGGCAAGAGTTTAAGAGTTTTAAAGCTAACTGTGGACACTAGGTATTAACTGAGGAACTCTGGTCTAAATAAACAAATTTACACTTGATGAGCTTCACAACAAAGCTTCACAATCATACCCACAGAACCTATCTCGGTGCCTGATACATAATAGCCTCCACAAATATGACTTGAATTAATAAGCTGTGGCCTAGTTACTTTAACATTTCATATGAAAAATAGAAATAATAATTGTGGGGTGCCTGGGTGGCTCAGTTGATTAAGTGACTGCCTTCGGCTCAGGTCATGATCCTAGAGTCCCGGGATCGAGTCCCACATCGGGCTCCCTGCTCGGCAGGGAGTCTGCTTCTCCCTCTGACCCTCCTCCCTCTCATGCTGTCTCTCCCTCTAATAAATAAAAATAAATAAAATAAAATAAAAAGAAATAATAATTGTACCTACCTTATGAGTTTATTATAGTTTAAAATTTGAGTCAATTGTTGTAGATTGCTCACATGCCTGGCAAATAAACTCTCATTAGGCATGTTAAATTAAGATTAAGACATTACAATTGGTGGGAAGGAGGAAATAAAAGTCATGATCTAAATTATTTCCATGTGTACTACATTTTATAATTTCAACAAAACTATAGATAAAATGATTTTTCAAATTCTGAAAAAAAACTACTTTTATAGATCAACAAATTATTTGACTAAAATCTAAAGGTTTGACTGCATATTAATTATCTTTGCTTCCATATGAGTGTTGACTCATTTTAAAAAATTAAATGTGTTGGTTGGTTTACACATAATATAAACATGAAGTCAAAATTTTGTCCTCTTCCTCTGTTTATATTACAAGTCTGATATTGCAGAAGGTTTGGTATTAGCAACATCTATAATAGTGTTTATTGACACTGGATTTAAATTTCCAAAGCACCCAACTACTGAACTCTTCAACATTATCTTGAATATTGTAAGCATCTCTTCTTTCAATCTACTACTGAAATCTTTTTGCATTGGTTAGTGTGTGGGTGTGTGTGTGTGGTGTGTGTGTGTGTGTGTGTGTAGATTTGAGGAACTCAGTTCTATATGTCTGTTCTCTGCCTGGCTCACACATCAAGTGTAAAGTAGAATCTACTCTACAATGTATTCTACTTTTGATTATCTTCAACAAGTCAGCTGATTGGCATTTATTACCCCAGGTACAGTTATTGCCTTTGAAATCTCTGTACAGCTTGGATGTTTCTCGGTAATTAACATGTTGTGGTTAAGCTATTATGAAAGCCCCATAATTTCGTTTTCTGCCTCTAGTCTCTTCCTTATCAAATCTATCTTATGGACTCAGATCAAAGTGACCTAACATAACAACAAGCAAACAAACAATGTTAATTCCCTGCCCCCAAATCTCCCATAGCTCCCCCACTGATTGCAATATAAATGTCATCTTCTTGTGTAATACAAAAGATCCAGTTAATCTATTTCAGGGCTAACATGTCAGGTTTACTCTTGTCTGCTCAAATCCTTTGCTCTTCCTGTTTCCTCCACTGCCTCTACCTGGAACGTTTCCCCAGACATTTGCTTGGCTTAATCCTTCAACTCCTTAAATTTTTAATTAGCAGTTTCCAGTTAGTTTAGTTCAAATTATGGCCCACCCCTACACTCCGTCTATCTATATCCTAAGTCTGTTCACAAACACACACACACACACACACACGCCCCACCATCACTGCCAACACCCCCTCCACATAGATTAGAAACTTTTGAGGTTGAATCTCTTAATGCCTGGCATGATCAATAAATATTCATTGAATAAATGAATAATTATCAGGCCATTTATCTCGATGGTTTTAGCTAAGTTTTCACGTTCCTGAAATATAAATTCTGTGCTTATCCCAGACATGCCATGTTCTCTCTTTCCTTGATAACTGACATGTGCACTTGATATCAAACTCCCCCCCCCCGGTCCCATTAATACTATCCTATAAAGCAATCCTTTATAGGAAAGAAAATGATGTGAGAGAAAGTAAATGGCGATGGGGAGAGACACAATTCACATGGAGGCTGAAGGCGGCTTTCTTGTGGAGGAGACACTGACTGTAAGACCTGTGAGGTGAGAATGAGGCAGGGTCATGTCATGAAGAAAGGAATCATGTCACCTGGGAAGGAGACGGGCTGTGCCAAAGTCCTGAAGCAGCAGAAAGTTAGGTTTATACTAAAGGAGTTTCTAGAGTAGCCTTGTGATCTCACTGTCCTAAAGAAGAAAGTGGTATGAATTAAGCTGGGAAAAGTAAGCAGGAACCAAAATCTCCAGAGCTAAATTTAGGGGTCATCAGACCAGCCTGTGTGTTGTCCTATGGCTGAGAAGCCTGCAGGAAGTTGCGGAACTCTGGCCATGGCCGTGCTGAGAAATGTTGGTGGCTGGGACAAGAGAAGGGGCCTTGGAGAGAAGTGGATGAATTGGGAACTGCATTTTGCATGGGTGTTATATGGAGGGTAAGGGAAAGGAAGGTCTTTTTTTTTTTTTTTTAAGATTTTTTTTTTTTTATTTATTTGAGAGAGAGAGAATGAGAGACAGAGAACACAAGAGGGAAGAGGGTCAGAGGGAGAAGCAGACCCCCCGCTGAGCAGGGAGCCCGATGCGGGACTCGATCCCGGGACTCCTGGATCATGACCTGAGCCGAAGGCAGTCGCTTAACCAACTGAGCCACCCAGGCGCCCCGGGAAAGGAAGGTCTTAAGAATAGCTCCTTGTGGGGCGTCTGGGTGGCTCAGCCGTTAAGCGTCTGCCTTCGGCTCAGGTCATGATACCAGGGTGCTGGGATTGAGCCCTGCATCAGGCTCCTTGCTCAGCGGGAAGCCTGCTTTTCCCTCTCCCATTCCCCCTGCTGTGTTCCCTCTCTTTGCTGTGTCTCTCTCTGTCAAATAAATAAATAAATCCTTTAAAAAAAAAAAAAAAAGAATAGCTCCTCGTTTCTTTACTGAGTTACTAGGTCCATGATGGGGACATTTAGCAAAACACTAGCACTGGGGGAGAGCCACGTTTTCAAACACCTCCTCTGAGGAAGTTCCAAGATGACTCAGGCTGATTTAGGTTTTCCTCTGGGCTCACATTTTACCTTGTAAATGAGTATTAGGATACTCATTATATAGTGCTGGGCACCAGGATGGCTCAGTCAGTTAAGTGTCCGACGGTTGATTTCGGCTGGGGTCATGATCTCAGGGTCATGGGATCGAGCCCCCTGTCAGACTCCACACTGGGCAAGGAGTCTGCTTGAGATTCCCTCTCCCTCTGCCCCTCCCCTCGCTTTCTCTCTCTCCCTCTCTCTCTCAAATAAATACAATCTTTAAAATAAAAGATTATTTATCATATAATCCTATAATAACATTCTGGTTTTCTCTCTCCGAGACAACAGGCTCTTTGAAGATAGTGACCGTATCTTTTCATCTTTCTGTTGGTAGGCCTAACACAGTGTCTCGCACAAAAAATGCAAACAATAATTGAATGAATGAATGAATGAATGAATGAATGTAGGAAGAACTAAGAGAAGAAGCAAGAATCATAGTATTACAACTATGTTAGCTTCCAATCTTTTTGTAGGTTCTGTTCATTTAAGACTATGCATAGACTTTTTTTAATTTTCGTTCCTGTACAGTTCACATGCAGTGTTCTATTAGTTTTAGGTGTACAACATAGCGATGTAATACTTCCACACTCTGCATAGACTTTGATCAAAAATCTCTCAAGTCCAGTAAATTTCTTACTAAAACTGTAAACTGCTAAAAACTGCCCAGTCCCTCAAAGTCAGTATGCGATTTTATCTAGCGTGCATGGATACAAAAAAAAAAAAAAAGAAGAAAGAAAAAAAGATGACCTTTTTTTTCTGTAGTCCTTGAGCTGCAAATTGGTCAAATAAAATATTTTATAATCAATGAAAACGAAAGACTATCTTTTAAAGATATGAGAGCGTTTGTTTATAGTTCTAAATGTTAATATTAATGTAACTTTCGGTGGGTATTTCTGAGACTTGTTATCCTGTTTTTATTTTTTTTAAAGAATGTTCGATGTAGGAGGACAGAGATCTGAGAGAAAGAAATGGATTCACTGCTTTGAAGGTGTTACATGTATTATATTTTGTGCAGCACTCAGTGCCTATGACATGGTCCTGGTGGAAGATGAGGAAGAGGTTAAGTCTCAAAGGAAAATAAAGCCAGGGTAAAACAAACAAACAAACAAAAAACCAAGCATCGGTGCTTCCCAACATGACTACCACATTCCCCAACTCAGGGAAGATCTTCCAAACATAGATGTTACTTCTAGATCCTTGCTTATAAGGCCCAATGTTAATATTTTGCCAATAATAATCCTACACATGCTCATCTTTATCCCTAACAGAACAGAATGCACGAGAGCCTTCACTTGCTCAACAGCATCTGTAATCACAAGTACTTTGCAACCATCTCCATTGTCCTGTTTCTCAATAAAAAAGATCTTTTTCAAGAAAAAGTAACCAAAGTGCATCTTAGTGTCTGCTTTCCGGAATACACTGGTAAGATACTTTTTTAATTCCATACAAAACTCTTATATAGACCTCTATTTTCCTGTCTTCATCTTGACAGGTAACATTTATGAAGTTGAGGCTTATGATAATTGCTTGAGTCACATGTATGATCCAAACTGGAAGAAGTCTTGCAGCTAAATAGGAAATGCCTCTCTACACTGTCGGCATTAAAGAAAAGCTCTAATGAAAAAATGGGAGATTAGATGGACCAGCGTTGCTAATCTATGTATTAAACAACACCGCAAACTGTGTTATCTTAAACATTATAAACAATATAATATATTACAAATTGGCATTTTTTTTTTAAAGATTAATTTTATTCAAGAGAGAGGAGAGAACAAGCAGGAGGAGCAGAGAGAGTCCTAAGCAGACTCTGCGCTGAGTGGGGAGTCTGATGCAGGGCCCAGTCTCAAGATCCAGAGATCATGACCTGAGCTGAAACCAAGAGTCAGAGGCCCAGCTGACTGCACCACCCAGCATCCCCCCCAAATTGGCACTTTTTATGTATCTCCTGATGAAACTTTATAAAGCAGTTGTTTCTCAAAGTCTGAATTAAGTTTCCTGAGGGACAGCTTGAATGATTTTTGAGAATAGTGACATTTTCTCTTTCCAGTTTTCATTTTCCAGTTTTCCTAGCTCCTAGAATGTTAGTGCTGATCCTGCTAATGACTATAAATGTCAGGTTCTATAAGTGGGTTTTTTTTCCTTCAGAGACACTTTTTTTTTTAATATAGCTACATGCTCTGTTAATGAAACTATGTGTAAGATGGAAATACTTATGAATTAAACGACAAATAGGGGTGCCTGTGTGGCTCAGTCGGTTAAGCATCTGCCTTTGGCTCAGGTCATGATCTCTAGGTCCTGGGATGGAGCCCCTTGTCAGGCCCCCTGCTCCGTGGGGGATTTGCTTCTCCCTCTCCCTCTGCCCCTCCCCCCCCATGTGCACTCTTGCTCTCTCAAAGAAATAAAATCTTCTAAAAAAATAAAAATTAATTTAAAAAAGCACAAATAGAAGCCCAATTCCACCACTTTGTTTCATGGGTAGCCCAGATGTTACTATAAGCATGGCATTCTGTCATAGTAGCTATTTATGCTAATCTAAAACTAGTGCTTCTATCTTTCTTCTAGCTTTGTAAATATTAATTATGTGTTAACACATTTATCATGTGATTAAATATAATCATGATTCCATGTTGATTTTTACAAACTAAATATAGATTCAATAAAGCTCTGTATATTTTCTTCTAACTAATAGGCTTTAATTCTTAGAGCAGTTTTTCATTTACAGGACAAATGAATGGAAAAGGCAGAGTTCTCACCTACTCCCTCTCTGGTCAGCTTCCCATTTCCCTTACTATTCACATTTTGCATTGATGTGGTATATTTGTGACAATTGACTAACAGGTATTGATATGTTATGACTAAAGTCCATAGTTTACTAGGGGCACTCTGAGTCATGCAGTTCTGTGTGCTTTGCAAATTCATGTCACATCCCTACCATTATAATAACATACAGAATAGTTCCACTGCCATAAAAATCATCTGTGTTCCACTATAAATCTATGCTTTACCTCTCCCATCCAACTTGTGGCAACCTCTGATCTTTTTTACAGTTGTGCCCTTTCCAGAATGTCACAGAGCTGTAATCCTACAATATATGGCATTTTCTGACAGACAGCTTTCACTTTCCATTATAAAAACTATATGCATTTAAATTTCCTCCATGTCTTTTCATGGGTTGATAGTCCATTTCCTTTTATTGTTAAATAATAATTCACTCCAAAAACCAGTTTGTTTAATCTTTCACCTATCGAAAGACATCTTAGTTACTTCCAACTTTTGGCAATTATGAATAAAGCTGCTATAAACATCTATGTTCAGGATTCTATGTACGTGTAAGTTTTTGTGCAAATATCTAGAAGCACATGTGTTGGGCTGTATAGTAAAACTATGTTTAGCTTTGTAAGAAACTGCCCAACCGCCGTCCAAAGTGGCTGTACCATTTTGAGTTCCTGTGGCTCCACATCTTCGCCAGCATTTGGTATTATTAGTGTTTTGGACTTTAGCCACATTACACGGTTTTAAAGATTGTCTCTCATGGAATTTTTCTCCTAGTTACAATAAAGTGAGGAACACAAATTGTATCTCCTTGGAAAATTTTCACGTTGCTGCCCTATCCTATGTTAGGTTCCCTGAAAGTATATTCTGTTATAAAGCCCATCAACATGAATCACTTTTAGCTGCCTTGTGTTTCTTAGCATTCGTATTTTATTTCTGCCTTTTCCCAGTTGATCCGTTGTATGTCCTGCTACAGGGCTAACCATGCCTGAGCCCACCCTTCATCAACTTTCCATTTAGCTCCACTAAAGCATCAGTCAAGAACAGCTCTCTCTGGTTTGACCTATGTCATCTCAACTCCTTCGTTTGGTTAGCAACATAGTCCATAATCTGACCCGTACCATCCATTCTACTTGATTTGCTACAATTCCTCTGCAAAAATCTGTCCTTTCCGTCCAACTAGACTCTCCAAGGTGCACATTTGACTCTCAACCCCACCCTCAAGTCCAGTGATACAGGCCATTCTCACTCCCACTTTTTGGCCTCACTCAGACTGCTTCCTTCTTTCTTCTAACTCCCCGTCAAGATCCAGCTCAAACACCACCTCGTTCTGCGGTCCACTCATCTACAAATGCCATTCTTCTTGTAGTTCATATTAACACACACACACACCCACGTACACAGATAAATGAACAGCCTTTGTCATATACATAGACTTCATTGCTCATTTATGTATATATGTTAGTATTTTTACTGTATTGTGAGTATTTGAGGCAAGTGAAGCCCCCACTCAGTGGGGCATGCATGGTTCCCCGCACAAATTTAGTATCGCATAAATCCCAGATAACTGACCATTGCCATCTTGATTTTTCAACACTGAGTGTATCAAATAGCAGCACACAAAGTAAAATCCTAAAACTTAGTGATATTTCTAATTTTATTCCTTTTAAAATGCAATTAACGTTTCTTTTCTTTTCTTTTCTTTTCTTTTCTTTTCTTTTCTTTTCTTTTTTTAACAAGGACCAAATACATTTGAAGATGCAGGGAACTACATCAAAAACCAGTTTCTAGACCTGAATTTAAAGAAAGAAGATAAGGAAATTTATTCCCACATGACCTGTGCTACAGATACCCAAGATGTCAAGTTCGTGTTGGATGCAGTTACAGATATAATAATCAAAGAGAATCTAAAAGACTGTGGGCTTGGGCGCCTGGGTGGCTCAGTCGGTTAAGCGACTGTCTTCGGCTCAGGTCATGATCCTGGAGTCCCAGGATCAAGTCCCGCATCGGGCTCCCTGCTTAGCAGGGAGTCTGCTTCTCCCTCTGACCCTCCACCTTCTCATGCTCTCTCTCTATGATTCTCTCTCTCTCATTCTCTCTCTCTCAATAAATAAATAAAAATCTTTAAAAAAATAAAAATAAAAAAAAATAAAAGACTGTGGGCTTTTCTAATCAGTCCTTTTTTTCTTCCACTCTTGCTCATGTACACTTCTCAAGATACAGAAGGAAAGGTGTTGTGCGATGTGTTTAGGTTTAACAGATTAGTGTTCTAAAACAAAAAGTTTTCATACAAAAATTTTACTATATTGTCGGCTCTGTCTGGTTAAGTTTCAATTTCTCTGGGACATTGAGGATGGGGGGTGTCTTTCGTGTCCACAGGTCTGAAAACGTACATTTTGGTAATGTATTGGTACATATTAATGACAGTGAATTTGCTTGGTAGTAAATTTCTGTATTGTGATCTATTTCTAATCATAGAACAACAAAAAATGCAAGGTATCCCGTATTATTTCACTGGCCACATTTTGAGAGACATTTGTTTTCACTGATACGTAACTGTGTCTTTACTATAACGACTATTCATTATTGGTCAATTCCTCCAATCAGTAAGTTGTTAATGAAATGTTCACTAGACATGTACTTGTCGATGAGAAATTCCATATGCAAAAGAAACGCATGCAATTTTATCTGCTACATTTTTCTTAGGGAAAAAAGTCATTCATGCTGAATTTACCCTTAGAATTGGAGATTTTAACAATCTATCTTTTTTGTACCAGCCTAGTAGAAAATGGGACTGTGTGCGGTCAATATATAGGGTAAGGCTGATCAGGCTGAACAACAGTCCTTAATGGAGTACTCATTTCCCACATTTTACTCCAACGTGGCATGGAACATTATTACAACTGATGGTTGAGGGACAATAATTTTAGACCACAAGAGAGAAAAATAATTCCGTTTCTTGGCATTTAGTATGTTTTGGTTTTGTGACTAAGAAGTAGGAAGTAAGAGTTAATAATTAGGAGATTTTGTAGAAGAGAAACATTGAGCTTCTCTATTGGTACCGTAGGGTCCATTCTAAATGTTCGACTGCATGATAATGGTCAAGCCTACTTTATAAAAGCTAATTTGGTGCCTTACAAACAGAAAAGATGTCATTTGCAAACAGAAAAGATGACCTCTCTTTTTTAAAGTATGTACCACTTACAACATATCCTTTTCAAGCAGGTCTCAATATTGTTACTCTCTATCCTAGTAGAAGGTGATACACAGGTCAGAATAGTAGGTCAGTGGATGAGATTTATAACTACCCTGAAAAGAGAGCTAATTAGTGTTTTACAAGCTAAATTAGGAAATCAGAAATTAAGCAATTTGCCAATCTGTAGCTTAGATGGGCTTAGGTAGCTATGTCTCAGGGTCACTTCTTCCTGGTTCTGTAACATTTCCATTCTAAACACTTAGGAATGATCACTATTCAATAAATAGCCTTGACTGGAGTGCTTCTGGCTTTACTTTCAAAATACACAAAGGAGTTATCAACAAATATAATCCAATAAAAATGTGATAGTAAGAAAAATTAATTGGAAATTTCTTTGCAGAATATAAATTATTAAGGAACCTAAGATAGCAAGGACAGAAAAAAGAAAAAACATTTAGTTCAAGAATTCAATAAAATTTTCTGGCTAAGAACCAATATCTATATGACAAAAACCCAACATTTTGCTAGGAGATATTCAATGCTCAGAGATTCTAGATTAAGATCACAAATGCTATCATTTCATCTTTTGCTTTGTCTTTTTATTTTTTTCCCATTCTACTTTAATCTGCTTTTCTCTAACAGTGTGAAGAGAATTTTCCATAATGGAGTTAGATAGTTTGAGAAGTATTACTATTTTATTTGGATTTTGACTTTGTCTTACCCTTAGGATTTCTCTTTTCGGTGTAAATGGTGGGGTCAGAAATGGTTCAATTTGTCTTTTATTTATTTATTTATTTATTTATTTATTTTTAAAGATTTTTATTTATTTTTTAGAGAGCGAGCGAGAGAGAAACGCATGAAAGGGGAGAGGGTCAGAGGGAGAAGCAGGCTCCCCTCTGAGCAGGGAGCCCGATGTGGGACTCGATCCCAGGACCCTGGGATCATGACCTGAGCCAGAAGCAGACGCTTAACCGTCTGAGTCACCCAGGCGCCCTCAATTTGTCTTTTAAAAATACGTAACTCATTTCATTATGTGCAAAAATTTGACAAGTATCAATATTTATAAAATACTATTCTCTGAGAAATTAAAAAAATATGTTAAGTGATCAAACTAAAATTAGAGGTTACTTTGGATTACAGGAAAACAAAACAAAACCTATTCCTTCCAACCCAATGATTGGAATTTTAAAAATTCCTTCACAATCACAACAGTTGTTATGCCAAACAATTCATTTTAATTAAAAAGAGAAATCTTAAGTAGAGAAAATAGATGTTTGCATTATGACTTTAGTGATCACCCTCCTTAAAAGTGAGTCTATGTCTGATTTCACTTTTTAAATGTTTAACAAAAAAGGTTGGCCTAGACACACAGTATTTTGAACTAATTAAAGAAAGTGGGCGCCTGGGTGGCTCAGTTGGTTAAGCGACTGCCTTTGGCTCAGGTCATGATCCTGGAGTCCCGGGATCGAGTCCCGCATCGGGCTCCCTGCTCGGCGGGGAGTCTGCTTCTCCCTCTGACCTTCCCCCCTCTCATGCTCTCTCTCTATCTCATTGTCTCTCAAATGAATAAATAAAATCTTTAAAAAAATAAAAATAAAAAATAAAGAAAGTAACAAAATTGAAAATCTGGAAAACCATGCTTTAGCCAGAAGATAGTTGCCCTGAGACCAGCAATATTAAAGTTGGTTAGAAGTCAAATACCTATTTCAATGGAAATTTCAACCTTCCAGCTGTACAGGTAGTGTTCTTGTTTGACGTGTCTCAAAGAAGCAGTCTTCGTGTTTATCAAAGTTCAAATGTTATTATACTATTTTCCTTTTCTGTTATTTGAGGTTTCTCTTCCTCACTCAGAATGTCCTTAAATCCTCTTGCCTCAGATTTTTAACACTTCCAACTCATTCATTTCTAAAATGTGTCCAGTTGTAGATACACTGCACCACCTCAGGGATCTGGAGCAGGCTTATGGCTAACAGAGTCACTGACAACTGAGTTTTTCCAGAAGCATGAACTGGTCAACAGATAAGTCTTTGCATCTTGGGACTAGGGACTAGAGAGTTAAATGAAGAAGAGCATTCATTGGTAATACCCTGGAGTCAAAATATTGAAGTTGGTGACTCTAAAAGCAGCTCTATAGAAAAGGGATTTCAAATTCTGTGAAGGCTACAGCAAATGTTATAGATATCCCATATCCTATTGGTTCGCAAAACTTAAAAACGAACCCCAGTCTTCATGCACATCATACAAATCGGCAAACTAGTTTCTTTCAGGCTATGGGTCTGTCCTAAGACAAGTTTTCTTACTATCCTATTGAATCACGAACTATAGTTGCAAATACTTGCACAGATCCATCAGGCTTGACTTAATCACACGCTACATACATGAGAAAGAAGAAATCTTTCTTGTAGAGATATGTGTTTTTCCGATGTGACACGACTTCAGAATCAGAGACGGATGTGCTAGTTAGCAGGAGTAACTCCTAAAAGTAAAATATTCATAAGAACTATAGAAGCAATTGAGAATCCTCTCAGAGTAACTTTAAAAGCAGGAGACGCCACCCTCTGCCTGGATGCAGCAAGTATTCCATTGATAATCTAACCAGTTATGACCCTCTTTCTTCGTCGGCCTTTTCTGACATGCTTACTGACCAGTCTACGGCCACTCGGGGGCACACTAACATCATGTGTTTTTCTACCCAAATGTTGCCAACATAATAAACTTAGATTACCAATAGCTTTAATGGGACAGATAATCAAATCCGATTAAGAAACATAGCTCATGGGTGCCTGGGTGGCTCAGATGGTTAAGCGTCTGCCTTCGGCTCAGGTCATGATCCCAGGGTCCTGGGATCAAGTCCCGCATTGGGCTCTCTGCTCCTTGGGAGCCTGCTTCTCCCTCTGCCTCTCTTTCTCTCTGTCTCTCATGAATAAATAAATAAAATCTTTAAAAAAAAAAAAAAAAGAAAAAGAAACATAGCTCATTTTGGGACAGATAATCAAATCCCATTAAGAAACATAGCTCAGCAGCATACGATAATCTTCTGATCATAATACACGCTACTTTAGTCAAATCTGTGAGTAACAAAGCTATGACAACAGCTCCAAATTTGTTCAGTGTTATACAGGTATTTAGTCTTTGCTCATGCGCTAATTTTTTTTTTTTTTTTTTTTTTTTTTTTGCCATTTCCAAGCTCTTGTTTAAATCTAAATTACCATTCATTTTGTACAGTGGGGTTTTCCATTCATCTATATTGTTTCCAAAATCTTGATTAGCTTACGGTGAAGTGTAGGAGAAAAAATAATTTGATGTTTAACGACTCTTGTTTCATGAATAGTAATTAAAGGGCTGCTTTTCGATGGGTTTCTTTTCAGTAAATCAAAGTAAAATTCCACTCTGCTAGAACATTAACCATCCCATTATTATGTTGATTACAACTTTTTCCTTAACTACCGCTCCACCAAATCGACAGGAAAATAAGTGCTCTGTGACATTTTGCGATTCTCAGCTCTGCGGCTGCCAACGCATTTTTCATTAAATAGCACAATTTTTACTCAAAACCACATTTGTCACACTAGTTAAGAAGTAAATAGAGTTACACGAAAGAAAGAGGAAATAAAAAGGCCCCAGTTTACTTCAGACGGACAGTAATAGCCCTCTAATTTTAACACCCTTCAGAAAGCAGATAATAGATGAGACACACAAGCCAAGTGATTATTTGAAAGACATTGATGTTTTCTAAATTCATCAGATTGGAACCAAACCTAGCACATATATGTGATGGAAAGTATTTTTCAGGGTAGATTGTGGTGTTTTCTTTTTTGAAAAAGAAAAATGGCCAAATAAGACATTCCATTAGAATATCAAAAACAGTGGTGACTGTTTCTACTTTAACATATTAAAAGCCTTACGTTGGAGAAAACAATAGATGATTGTACTTAGAATTAGCGTAAGAAAGTTT